GTTGAAGTTGTTGTTTGCGAATTGGGTTCTGTTTGTTTTTTCATGAAGGGGAGGAAAAAGAGCACCTCTATGGAAAATTCAATTTGTTAAGAGCATCTCCTTTAGATATGATAATGGGTTTTGGTGGTTTAATTGGGTTTATGATGCTGATGGGATCAAAAAGTTTTGGGGCCTACTCGCATGCTAATCCCAATCTCAAACCTATAGAAAGAATTATGACAATACTTTTAAACTCTGTACAATGGAGACTGTGACTTTCCTGAATATGAATACCAATATCTCCCTTTATGTTTGCCATTTTATTGTTTCTTGAGTTTAAGTTCTCTGGTGGGGATGATTTCAGGTACCAGATGCCTCTTGCCCTTGTTGGACTGATATCATGTTTAGCACTTTGGGACGTTGTTAAGTTTTGTGGCGATAGGTGGGGATTAGACAGATATCCAGTTGTTTGGCAGTGTTTGGTTCGCATTGCCCAATGTGGTAAGTTATTAATGTTTTAAGCCAGACCGTTCATTTACATTTCTGAGAAGTTTCTCCAAAATCTTCTCTTTAAACATGTATTAATTGATTGGTTAAGTTTTTTTTTCCTGGTTGCATTATTCCTTAAGAGGAATTCACTTGAAAAATGATCATATGATATACACCTATTTCCAGACATCAGTAGATCTACTGGTTTGGATCCCAAATTATAAGTAGAAACTGGATTTCGCATTTTTGATAGAGCATTTCTATATACTCTATTGCTGCTTGTTGAATGGTTATTCTTTTTCCAATTCCATTTGGCTTAGATTACAAGTCCTAACATTATCGTTTTCTTAGTTCACGACGACTGAGAACTTTAGCTCGGTTGTCTAGAGTTGTGAGAAATTAGCCAATGTGTTAGCCGAGTGTAGCATAAGCATAATACCCGCATGATTGATCCCATAAAAGTTTTACGTACTACTTCAATTTGCTATTTGGAACCTTTGGGATGTTTTCAAAACTTAGCTTCTTTACGAGAACAGCTTTTGTGGAATTCTTGGAAGTAAAATTATTACTGCTGGATCTTTCTGCATTTATTTTTCAATTCCATTGAACTGCTTTTGGTAGTTAATTACATCAGAAATCTTATTTAACCCTTTTTTTTTTCCAAATACTTACCTGAGTACAATGTTTGCAGTGACTGTCATCATTCTTTTGTACTCCAACTTTCAAATGGCGCTCTTCTGTGCACTTGGCATTGGATACGCAGGTGACTCCAAAACATTCCTATGCTATGTTATAGAGTTTATCTTTATCGGTTGATCTCATCCTTTGAAATCTTGACAGGCATGGTTTTTCATGCTGCATTTCGGAAGCTGACTCTTGCCAAGCCACCATCTACTGGAAATAGAAAAATAGCCAGCTTCAGGCAACAATATTCGTAGTCTTATACATGGGGTATGTTTAATCCAGTCACTGCTACGCATCAACAACCAATTCTCTGGGCTATGGCTAACACATGCCCTGCAGGGGGCACCTTGCCCTTGCTGGCAAGTTCATACTATGGCATGGGGTTCTCTGATGATCCTATTGCCCAAGAGTTTCATGGCTTCGTCTTTCAGTGTTAGAGCCAATTAACAAGTCAAGCTCAAATCATGTTTAATTAGTTTGTTCAGTTAGTTTTTTCTAATGGAGTTTGGTTAGTTTGTAGCTACACTACAAATATAGCATTTTGTACTCACGATCTTTATTTATTTTGAACAAGGTACAAACTTTTCTGATAAATGAAAAGGAACAAAAAATTATATTCACGACTTCCTTTAAAGAGTGTTCAACAGATTTCGGATCAACGTACAGGAAGCTTTTACTGTATTAGAGCACAAAGGCTAAATGCACTAATTGCTTGCACACATGATCTTGTCAAAATATGTCACAATCTTGGTTTAGGGTTCACCTCTAAACCATCGAGTTGTAAGAGAAATCAGTTCATTACTGCAACGCTTAATAACGAACAACTTTACTCTTTAAAAGCATTGAGTAACCTGAAGCATTCTCCATTTTTATTACTTGTAGAAAGCATGTTGATGGTGTTAAACGTTTGTAACTATGTTCTTGTTGATTCTGCTGATGAATCTAGCTTCCATTGTTTCTAAACATCCTATTGCTGCCACTATGCCTATTGAGCGTTGACTCTTCATCAGATGATACTCAGACACTCTTTGCTACACAAAACAGGCTTTGTTTCATTGTACTAATGAGATGGAAGTCAAAAGATTCAACTGGGTGTTACTCAAATGAGATCATAAGCCATCCATTGCTAGATATGAATCATAGTACTTTTACCCTTTGAAGGAAGGGGTCTTGCAGGTTTGAGCTATTGCTGGTACTTTGCAGTCATATCAGACCAAATACATACACCTCGAGATTTGTTAGTTCGAGCCACAATGGAGCCAACTCCATCGCAGTCAGGGGCGTTTTGCCTTTGGCCATACTAGTCAGTCCTTTTGCAATTGTCATTTGTATAGATATGATGTTGGTGCTCTGCAATATGATATTTGTTAATCGCTTTTGATGTTAATAAAGTCTTTCAATTTATGCATTCTCCAACTCTTTCATCATTGGCAAGTCTGTTATTCTTTGCTGGGAAGGTTTTGCAAATTCTGACGAGTTTCTAACATCAACCCTGATGATGTTAGTCATTCTACTTCGGGTTATATCTAAGCAGTTTTGTATTCTACATTCGCTCAAATAGCAAATATACTTACCAAACCGTTATCAAACTTATCGTTGTACAACCGTGTTAATGCTACATAATAAGCCTATCTGGATTCTGATAAAATCATGGAAGTTCAAGCAAATCAAAATTTATTTACATTTACAGAATGGTGAGCCATGAAATAGATGAACAAAGTTGGCATCTCATAAAGATGCTCTCTCTATGTTGCAACCTTCTCCTTCCTGAGTTATTGGGAAGGTTGAGAAAGGTGTTTCCAAAGGGATCATCTACCAAAATATGAAAACTTTGCCAATTTTAGGCATCATGATGATTAGTTTTTATGATGGTCAAGTTGTAAGTAATCCCAAAATTTTATTTTTATATGATTTTATTTTTATTATTTTACAACACTTTTTGAAAGCAAAAAAGATTTATAAGTTTTCTTTTTAAGGTTGAGTTTCTTCCATTAAAAATAAACTCTTTATCATTCATTTCTGTAAAGAGCACAATTTTATGCTCCAAAATTGAACCATAGGCAAGACTTTAAACATCTATCTTTATGACTCATAGAAATCTCAATGGAAGGTATGGATTTTAAGATTGTAGTTCCAATTGGCAAAAGTGATAAAAGCTTTATAGGTATTCAAATTTATTCTATTAATTGACATCTAAGATATTTGCCTTGTAGCCTTCATAATTCTCTCAAAATGCACGACCCTTTTAAAGTTATGACATAACAAGCATCTCTGATGAACAAAGAAAAAAAGAGAAATAATATATTATTCCAAGTAATTTTCAAAAACACTTGTTTTTTGTGATATAAATGTACATCCGTAACAAAAGATGAAATGTGACCAAAACAGATATAACTTAGAAAGTAGTACTTATTTTAAAATTCCCTTCTACCACATCATGTCAAGTCATCACTTACGAGTCAAATCAACGTGCAACAACAATGAAGGGACTAAATTAACACAACCATCAAAGTTTAGAATTAAAATTTGTAATTTAAGGCTATAAATGTAAGTTTTAAATATTTATAAAATCAAAAAGAAAAAAAAAAGATAATGATATCCCTATTTTATTTTATTTTTAAATTAAACATTGAAACATTCTCAAATCTCAATAAAACATAAACAAAATTTATGTCAAGAAAGGGTAGAACATGATTGATTTGCAAATATTTAGTGACATTAAAGTTTCCATCAAGAAGTGTTAAAAACCCTCCACTATTCACAGCATTTCAATAATAATGATAATTATTCATCAATCTCAGACAGGTTTCAATAATATTACAATGAATAGCAAGCACCCATATTCAAAGAAAATGCTGCTAGTAAAACAAAAATTTCATAAGCAAAAATCACAATTAATAATTAATACACCATTTCTTACAGCCACGTATGTACATTCATTAACTCAAATAATGCACTGCCAAGAATTAAAAAAATAAAATAAAATATCAAACAAATACACAAATTCTCCTCCCTTTTAAGCTGGACTCAGATCCTTTGATACCTGACCTTGCCATCTGATTCACAAACCCATGTAGTTTAGCTCAAGTGCATTTGCCGATAATCAGAAACAATCTATATGTATGATGTCTACTCTTAAAAAGAATTTAGAAACAAAAACAATTTAAATCGTATTTGATCTTAAACTTCCATACTCATCTCGTTTTAGTCTTAAAACTATCAAGTCTTATGTTTTAGTCCTCTTTGATTTCCTAATGTTTTATTATGGTCACTGAACGTGGCATAAGAAGTTACTACATTTGAAAACCCAACACCTAATATCATATGTTGCTTGTTTACATAGACCTAAAATATCATATATTGCTTGTTTAATGTTTCTGAGTAACTTAGAAACATGAAAGAGATACAAGGACATTAAAAAAAAAATATCAGCCCCACAAGAAGAGTCCTAAACTTAACTGTGTATAAAAGGACTCCAATTCGAAAAAAGAGGCCTAACTGATCATTACAAAACGATGAAAACGGTGGGCAATTATATTCAATATTCATTAAGTGAATGAACAAACGTTGATTTATAAGTTTCAATATGGTGGGCAAATAAGTGCATGAATATGGGTGAGACAAGAACTTAAAGAGATGATTGATGGTGAATGGTAGATTGTTTCACTCTATATGAGTATTAGTACTACCAACATACTTTCTTACCAGTTGATGCAAAAAGAATGACTAATATGATGTGTATTGTCACGGTAGATAAAAAAAACAATGGTGTTTCCAAATCTAATGCAATGACACTTCAAGTGTACCCATTTTTTAAAGCATTCACTGAAGAAGTCAGGAATGGTGTGAATCCCATATGAGACATAACAAATTATCATAAAACAAACCTGGAGAGTAAAAATCTAGCGAGCGAGCTCAAATTAGAATTTGAATGAAGTTCCCTGTTGGGTATCTTTTTGCTGCTATCAGAATCTGGAACGTTCTGTGTATCTTCGGAAACAGGAACTGTCTTAATCTTGGCGAACAAGCGAGTTGCCAAGTCTTGTAAATCTTTCAACGAAGTTTCCTTTGAACTGCTGTTACCCAAGTTAATTTTGAGATCTAAACATAACGTGATATTGAGAGGAGGATGGGGGGGTAGTAGATAGATGAAGAAAGTGAAAGAACTAATAAACCTGGCCAATTGCTGTAGAAACTTGGTAACAAGAACCTCACATGATCCAGGTTTTACGTGTTCCATATTTATAAGTGCATTAATTACAGCACGAGCAGGTGATCCTTCTGAGTCATCAGCAACTACCTGAGATGACAACGCATGAGAGCATGTTGTGACTTATTGGTACATTTGTACAAAGAAAATAAAAATCATTCAGTTCACTAAACAGAAAAGTACTATGCACATTGGTTATCACTATGACAGGACAATGTGAACCAAATCTAAAAGCTTATGTGCTATGCCAAATGCGTCACGTTGAGTGGCTCCTTTTTTTGGGCTGTTTATTCTTTTTTTAACGGTCTACTGCTTTATTTTTTTTCCTTTTCTCTTAATCATAGCTGGTTTTTTTGTTAAAAGAAAATGGGAGACTCAAACTTTCTCCTGTACCATGAAGCTGTTGCAGGTATTGTTAAGGCAGACAAATTATTAGATCAGCCAGGTTTACTTGGTTGCACATAATTCAAAACAAATAAATTGAATACAATAAACAGACAAAACTCAAATCAGCTATAAGGTTACCTCTTTCAAGGATGGCATAAACAATTTCGATAAAGGTGCAGAAGATAATGCTACTTTTGCACTTTCATCATCATGAATTGATTGAGATGGCTTTGGCAATGCTCTTGGTGCATCAAAGAATTCACGAGAATGCCTGGATAGAAATTATCGATATCAGGCACCAGTACACCATTCTGTGAAGCAAAAGTTGTTCTGGAAATTACTAAGATATACCTCGAAGAGTCAGAGCTACTCACTGTTTGCTCTGTCCTTCTATTTTCCTTCCTGTCGTTGAGTTTATGTGCTGATCTTTCCCTTGCATTAGCTTTTTTCAATCCTGCTTGAATCGCAGCCTTTGCCTACAAATTCAATAAACAGTACAAATAATTATTAATTGCAAAGCACTAAAGCATATTTTGATTTGTGGTAGTAAGGAATAAACGAATTATAATTTTGTAGGAAATGCTTATAAATTCCACAATAAAACCAAAGTGATAAATAAAATGAGTGAGGATTGCATCCTAAATACATGATCTTAGTTATTCAACCTAAACTATTTGAGAAGCATATTTAAAAAGGGAAGATACTACACCGTGTTTAAATCCAACTTCTGAGGATAACAAAAGAATACTACTCATAAAGATCTTAAGAAATACATGTGTTGCCTACAATTAAAATTAAATCAACCCAACTAAATTTAAAATAAGTAGCACTGTGATAAAATCATAAAAACCAACAGCAACTTCTATACTGAGTCATGATAAGAACGCAAATCAGAAGACTTAAAAGCAACCTCCGAGAGGTTTACTGCACTATCTTCAGGGGAAAAACTTGAAGTCCTTTCTTGAATTCCCGATCTGGATAGTGGAGTCCGAGGAGAATCAGAATCATCACGTTGACCACGCATAACAACAGTACCACTAAAAGGTGTGTCCTCAAAATATGTTTGTGCATTTCCAGACTGCATGGAATCATTGATTTCATAAATAAATATGCTAGACAAGCTCAACAATCAAGGGCGTCATTGAATTTAAGATAATTCTACCGGACTGCTTTGACTATGAAATTGAGCAGATGATTGAGATCCCTTGGGAGACCGGATCACGATAGTTCCTGAACCACTTACAGATAACTCTTCCTGGAAGTTGAGCATTCAAAATAAAAGGTAAGAGGTAACATTATCCACAATCAATTTGATCACTATTGCAAATAGAAAATGAACAACCATAATAATCAGTAATGGTTACTAAAAAAATTTTGCAGGTTTACATAGTAAAGTTGGCTGTAATAGCAAACATAATTTAAAACTTCTGGAACAAGTGAAATTCCTTGAAGTCTTGAACTTCTAAGTTCTAAGAACCAATATCAGCACATAATCGTCAGTTTTGGTTGAATAAGGAGGGAAAGTGCATATATATGTGAATGACTATCCGATCATATTCATAAACCAGACAAAAAAATCGTGTAAAAACAACTCCATAATTATTGATGTCAAATAGGCTTATTCTAATAATCTAGTTGATTGACGAACTAACAAATATGATTGCAAAAGCATCTGCAGCAAAGAGAAGTGAGTGAGAAGAGAATTTACATCTTCACTCGCATCCCCCGTATTGTATGAATCTCTAGCATCTTCTGCTACGTCACGTGATGCATTTCCAGATGCAGCTAGCCAGTTGCCACTCTCTGGAATTCTGCTTGGTGCAGCCTGACCATAAGGAATGTCTGGCTTTCTTTCCCTAATTTGAGGCGGTTTTACCACACTTCGAACAGTACCCGTACTGTTTGGTCCCCCAATACTAAAGTCCCATCCAGCATTCTTAGGAGTTTTACTCTGGTTGCTGCAACAGTCAGCAACAGCTCAATGAGTATGTCATTAATAATCTTTAGAATTTTCTTTATTTTATTTTGTAGGAAACTGAGATATATATTTGGTTTTACCAACCTGGCATGAATAGTTTCTTCTCTTGTATTTCTCGATACTTTTACCGTGTCGGACGTTTCGCCTATTGCTCTAGTACCATTAGTTGGTGTTTCTTCATCTTCATCCTTTGGAATTTGGTATTTCGGACGTTCTCTATCAATATCAAGAAATAAGATCATAGATACATTGCCTTATACACGAGCATTTTTATATTATTTGGCTTTCCTTGATTCTTCAGATGCATTAACACAAAAATGTAGAACTATGGCCTATAAATTAGGCAGATATGAAATTTGGTGTTCCTTTTGACCTTTTTTTTTTTTTTAATTTCATATCTGCCTAGTGCCTACGACTCTGAAATTGAGGAAAAGTAATAGACAGTAATGAAGAATAGGAATATCAGAAACTACCATATAAAACAAATAGAAAGCGAGTATCCTGACAGACCTTATTCTCTCCTGAAGCCTAGGACTCTTCCTGGCATTCCTAATGAAGCGATGCTTCAGAAGCTCTTTGGCACTGGGTCTCTGAAATTAAAAGTATAAAACTGCACTAAACTGTTCCACAGAACAAAAAGATACTAAACAGAAAAGATATATCCGCACATCACAAAAATCATGACTTCAAAGGGCAGGAGACAAGAACAATTTGAATGATTGAATCAAGTTTGAACATGAGACAATAACAAAAAAATATAACATAAATCAAAGGACATTTATATTAGAGAGAGAGAATAAAAAAAGATGAATTACCAGGAAATGAAATAATTGATATAAATCCTGAGAACTTTTTTTTTATAAGAAACATAATGTATAAGAATCAAAAGGACAACAACCTAAGGGTAGGGGATGAGGAAGCCCCCTTCCAAAAGATCTAGTAAAGTAAAACTTTCCAATCTCGACTAATCACAGCCAAACTACAGTTACAGAAGAATTTTCTATGATTGAGGCTAATTTGTACACTGTTACAAAAAATATCGAAAGGATGAGCTATATTATTGAAGACTCATTAATTCTTTCCTTCCATAAACTCCAAAAGAGAGTTCTTGCAGCACAACTCCATATAAATCCTGAAAACCTTAAAAATAACCTAAGAATGCACCAACTATCCACACCTTTAACACATCCCGGTTCTATTATTATATTGTTAAATTGTCATTGAACCCAAAAACTCAAGCTCATAAATTACGGTATGCATATATTTAATCATTTATTTTTATCCTAATCTCTCACTTGTGGGCTTGGAATTAGTCCAAGTGACTATCAATATTAATTGGGTTGGGGAGGAAATGACACTAAAGAAGTTCAAACTTTAAGCCTCCTACACTAATATCATGTTAAATCACAAGACGATAAGTTACAATATATTAATCATTTATTCAATATTTCTAACATATACTGACTCTTTGAAAAAGGATAAGCAAAAAAGTCCTACGAATTCTATAAGGTTTCCCTTACCAAAATATTGACATTCAACACACAAGAACAAGCCCTCAGGCAATATAAGAACCTCCAACCCTTTAGAGAGTGTTGGTCCTCTTCCTATCCCAACTTTGCCAAAATAAACAAAAACAAAAACATCCTAACAGACCCTGAAAAGCATATAAAGACCCCTAACTAACTTAAGGGGGTTAATTCCCCTCTTTACCCTTCCTTGCATAAGTATTTACCATTGGGGGTCTCACATCCAGCCACAGTCAACCTAATGCAACATATTAACCTACCATATAAGTACTGTAAGAAAGTAAATGACAATGTCCATTGTATCATTCATGCTCGCTCTTCACAGAAACACCAATTTGTGGCTCCATATACTCATTTAAGACATAGTATTATATATCCACACTCTTCTACTTCTAACGAAAGAAGTTTACCAATAAAATATATTTTCCACCAATTGAAAACAAATAAACTAAACACGGAACTGATTGCACAAGAAGATTGATGCTTTACCTCAGCAGGTATTTTCTTCAGACACAGTGACACTAATTCTTTCATGGGGCGAGAAAAATGCTCATCCAACTGCTCAGAAAACACACACAAAGACACACTGTCATGAAAAATGATAATGCACTATGTCATGCTCGGAGTTCACAGTCTGCAATGAAATAGTGTCAAGTATTGAGTTATTAAGTGAACCTGAGGTGGATTTTCTCGAGGTATAATAAAAAGAACTCTCATGGGATGAAGATCAGCAAGTGGAGGCTCCCCTTTCGCCATCTCAATAGCAGTGATTCCTAGAGACCAGATATCTGCCTGCATCATGCGAAATCAAGTATTGAGAAGCATGGTTATCATACAACCAATTAAACCACAAAATGCCAAGAAATAGTACTCTGTAAATAGCAAATACCTTCTCATTGTATCCTTCAGAATTTTGAATTACCTCCGGTGCCATCCAGAATGGAGTTCCCACAAATGTCTGTGGTCAAGAAATTAGTGATAAGTAACACAATTTAGAAGATCTCATCCAATAGCACTAGAAGATGGGCGAAGAAAAACAAATCTCCAGAACAATAACAATTCAGCAAAACTTCACACAGAAAGACAAACAAGAAAGCAAGTGTCACAAGGAAATTATCACAAACAGAAAACATTTACCAAAAACTGTCATCTTACTTTAAATAATGATTACAAGAAACAATTGTATGGATCTAACAAAGGAAAGGAACAGCAGGAGTCGAAGGAGCTAAAGTTCTCCCGAACAACCAGCCAGCCGATGGTGTTTAGAAAAACCTACTGGTTGGTCAAGATTACCATAATCCATAAACGTGGGGAATAGAACAAAGTCCAATATTTAACATTATACTCGATACCTTTCGTCTTGATATTGTCCTCGTTAATTGAGCAGAAACACCAAAATCTGCAACCTGTAGAGATTAAACCTTTATCCTTCTAAAGCAAAACCCAGCTAATCCTTAACTATTAAATCAAGGCTACGCAAAACTTTTTAATTATCAAAAATCATACCTTAACATCACCATTTTCACTCAGCAATATATTTGCCGCTGCAAAGTAAAATACAATCTTTCATTATACTAATTAATGTAGTAGTGAAATTCATTCATGAGAGTTAGCTATTTACTCTTTTAGCTATTTTCTTCTCTTTTTATAGACCTTCGTAAATGATAAGAAATTAACTTTTACAAATTCATTGAGTTGTGAAGAAGAAAGAAAACCTTTAATGTCCCTGTGAATTTTTCCTTCACAATGCAAATAATCAATTGCATGCAGCAAATCACGTAGAATGCATGCAATTGACATTTCATCGAGCGGTGGACCAGACTGCAGCTGCAGAACCACAGTTTATGGTGAGTTTCTATAAAAAGTTTCCCAAAATAGTTGAAATTTTGCAATAAATACATAGTATAAATAAATAAAATATCAAATACCAACAGAATTACATTGAAAGAGAGGAATCAAATATACTACCCAGTTCCCTGTACAGAAATTTCTTTAACACTGCTATTAGCTCTGAACCTTGGGAAAACTTCTCTGATAGGCATAAATGAGGAAGAATAAGCCTTGCTGCCCAAGGCTAAGATGTTAGGGTGTAAAGTGAAAAGTATGCCTTTCTCCTACTTGGGCATTTCACTGGGAGGAAACCATCGAAGAAGTCCTTTTAGGACCCATTGTAAGATAACGTTTGGAAGAAAATTGACAAGTGGAGCGTTTTTTTTATGAGAAACATATAAAAATAAAATTAAAAATCTGTTTCTTTTCCAAAAAAAATAAAATTAAAAAAAAAGCATTCCACTTGTCAATTTTCTTCCGACAAGTGGAGTGTTCTAACCCTTTCAAAGGGAGGCTATCTCACGCTTGCGCAATCGATGATTAACAACCTTCCTGTTTATCAGTTAGGTTCTATTCAAAGTGGTTTTGTAATTATCAGTTAGGTTCTATTCTTTTGGATTGGAAGCCTTTTTTTTAGTCAAGGCTCCTTCTTCTGGGCTTTTTTTTTTGTATGCCCTTTGTATATGCTTCTTTTTTAATTCGTCTTAATGAAAAGTTCGTTTCTTATCAAAAAAAAAAAAAAAGCCTCCCTGTTTATTACTTTTCTGTTCTTAAAGCCCCATTGGAGTTATATAAGATCTAGAGAAACTAGTGAGGAATTTTTTCTGGAGTGGAGGAAGTTACAAAGGCACATGCAATCATTTAGTTAATTGTGGGGAAAACTTCCCTTCCTTTACAATACGGTGGGGTGGGCTAGGAAATGGGGCTTTTCAACAAAAGAATGACGGTCTACTCCTCAAATGGTTATGGTGGTTCACTCAAGAGTCTGATGCCCTGTGGAGAAGGATGATAGCTAGTATTTATGGAGAGAGTCCTGTGGGTTGGTCCACTCTTCCCCCCAAGGAAAAGTTAAGGGATGGACATTGCTAAAGATAGTGAGTTCTTTCTCAAGTTTTTGGAGTTTAAAATGCATGAAGGGAGAAGGATTAAATTCTGGACTGACAAATGGTTAAGTGATGATACTCTCAAAGATACCTTTCCTGACACTTATAGCATTTCTAGAAGCAAGAAGCAAGTATTGCTGATTGTTGGAAAGAAAATGTAGAGGCCTTTTTGATAGGGAATTGGACGGCTGGGTGGATCTAATCCATCTACTGGATGTGGAGCGGTTGGGAGAAGAGGATGATAAGGTCCATTGGGCGTTAGAGAAAGGGGGAAATTTTACAACAAGTCTGCACTTTTGAAGCTTTCAACGGGTGTCCATATGCTAAAATCTACCTTGATCCATTGTAGTTCAGAATTCCAAAAAAAGTCAAGGTTTTCCTTTGGTCCTTGGCCCACAGAAGCATTCATACTCAAGAYATGCTCCAAAAGAAGTGTAGGCAGGGGGCTCTTTCTCCTTTGGTGTGTAACTTATGCCTTAAGAGTGAGGAATCCATGGATCATCTCTTTATTCATTGTCTGTTTGCTGCTAGAGGGTGGTTTTTTCTGCTGGATATTTTCGCATTGTGGCCTGTCTTCTTAAAAATATTGATGGCTGGTTGTCCGAACTCCTTTGGGGTTGGGTGAGTCTCTCCATGTTGTTGAACAATTGGAAAGCTCTTTTTGTTGCCTTTTTTTGGGCGGGGTATCCTCTACCCAGGCCCTTAGATTGTTTCCACCTCTTTGTTGATATGTAGTCGATGAGACATTTGATAAGATTGCAATGATATCGATGCATCAAGCATGCTAAGAAGAATGTCTTACCAACAATGGTTCTTTAGGGGTGTAGGTGTTCAAAAACTCGATGACCCAAAAAAATCCATCAACCCAACCAAACTGTATGGCATAGGTTGGGTTGGAATCAGATAAATTGAAATTTTATAGATTATGGGCTGGTCCATATGTGCTTCTAAAATAAGAATGGGTTAAATCAAATTATCCTAAAATTATTATTAATTAAAAGTATATCTATGTCACTCACGATATAATGAAATATGGATATATCTATATTAATTCCATTTCATTCAATGTTGAAAAGTAAATAGTTGCTTAAAAGGACTAAGTTAACCCAAATTTCACAATTGAGTTGGGTTGAATCCTCCTAAAAATTTTGTATAGTTTATCGGTTGGTTAGTTTTATACCTCTGTATTAGGCGTGAAGCAAGAAGTCAATTAGAGACTTACCAAATCTGCAACAGAGCCACCAGCCATATATTCCATTATTATCCATAACTTAGTCTGGTGGAGATAAGAACCATAGTACTCAGTAATGTAGGGTGATCGACATTGTGACAAAACAGAAATTTCCTGGCACAAAACTGAGGTAGATTAGCACCTAGGCATTCACCTCATTAATTTAGTTAACCAGTTAATTAATACCTTCTGAATATCCTCAATTTCGTCCTCGCTGCAAAAGATTAATTCAAAAACAAATTCAGCGATATCACAGAAAATAGAAGGGGCAAAACAATACATGAATAATTGAAAATGGTAAATTACTCCATCTGCATAAGAAAAAAATATGAAATGGAGATGTGGAAGAAGAACCGTCCCATCCTCCAACCCAAAAGGAATTCTAGTGCAAGGATATTAAATAAATAACAAGTCACGATCACAGTATTTAAGTAGGCTACACATTTTTTATCCAGAAAAACTGCTATATATGCAAAATAAAGTAAATAATATAAAAATGAAAAAATTAACGTAGAATTCAATCCAAGAACATCCTCTAAAATGATGTTTCTTCCTATCACGAGGGGAAGGGAGAAAACACATTTCCTTATTCCTCCATATCTAACATGCTTCACTCAAGTAGATTATCTGCATGTGGTTAGTAACAGCCATTAACTTAACATACAAACTTTGAAATAACCCCAAATGACAGGTACTTTAAGTAAAGCTAGGGAATCCAATGAACCTGTATCAGCAATTGAATTCGAGTAAGCTATATATACTGACAACTTCCTTTTGAGTCTCAACCAACCTATTCTATCCACTATATAGGGAAATCTAGCAATATATCCCGTTCCACACGTACCCTGCTTGCTTCTTTCTGTGGGTATGCTACCATTTTACAACAGAACCAGTGTACACTGGTATCAATTAGAGGTACCAATAAAACAAAATTATAGGACTCAGGTCAAATTACTTGCAAATTCAAGTTATAGTCAGCAAAATAGCCCTTTCAGATTCAAGGGAAGTTCCATAACCGAGGCAAACATGGTAGCAAACTTTATTTGAAGAAATTGTTTTCCCCCTCTCTTCTAGAAACTAAGCAGTGACATTAAATGTTTTTTGGCTGCTCTTGATCTCAGTTTACCAACTCATACTATTTGGATCCTAGAGACCATTCCAATGATTAACCAACCGAGTTCAATCTTAATTAATATACTGTCCATAGAATGTACAAGCAAGGTTAAAGCCTTCCCAAAATTTTCATGGTTGTGCAAAGAAATCTGACTTATTTAATATGTATGGACAAACCTCCACCGATGTTAGGAAAGAGTCGATAATAATCATTTCAAAACCATTTGTTTTCTGCTCGCACTTTTGCTCCAAAATTTTGGTACTTCATGCTACTTGACCACGGCTCTTCCTAACAATATGACAGACTTTCATGCCAATATTTTGTGGGTCGCCCTTTTAAGAGGAAGAAAAAAGCCCTTCCACGATAGTGTTTATTTTGTTTAAAAAGAACTCTCCAGATTTAGCAAAGAATGTGGTAATTCATGCCTTGCTGCTATTTAAATAATTGCACAAGCTTTTTTAATAAAACAAAAGAGACAGTATCTCATCGTGTTTTTCATCATTAAGGCAAGAACTTCAGTGAAAAATATAGGGCAACCTCTGTACTTACGATTCTTCCAAATCAATAACTTTGATGGCAACTT